CCTGAGTGGTGGGTAAAGCAATAAATTGGCACCCAACGAGAGGAGAAAAGGGTCAGGTCCTGCTGCACATCACTGAACAGGACAGGGGGTGCCAGCTCTGGGCACTGCCACCCTGGGTGGGGACTGTGGGAGCTCTCACGGGGAGAAAAATGGTCATTTCAATAAATCCAGGCTGGCTGGGTCACTGATGGAGGGGACTCCCCAAAGCAAACCCTCTGGGGGCACTAAGAGCAGGACAAACAGCAGGATCCACTCAGGGGGAGACCCCCAGCCCACAGACCCTGAGTGGAGCAGCATCATGGCACAGTAATGGGCACTCGAGGGTACCAGGGGCACTCAGGTGGAACCTGCCCTCTTCACAACAAGAAAAAAATATTTTTAGGCAAGTGAAGGTCCTAGTGCACTTCTTTTGTGTAGTTTGGACAATCAGGTCCTACCTTGGACTGGATTTGGGTTCAATAAAGCCCCGTTATCAGGTGTTGTGGGCAAAGGGCCTTTCACAACACAGCTCCCCTCACACAGAACATTCCCTCACCTACACAAACCCCAGCTGAGCCTGTCTCGGGTGAAATACTGCCTTGTCTCTCTCAATTATTTCCTCCTTTCCCATTCTGTTGGTCTGGTTTGTGTTTGGAAAGCTTTGCACTGCTATGGACACAGCAGGAACCTCACTGCACTTGCTGAGCTCCTGTAGCTCTGTTTTAGATTAAAACAGGCCCCTTCCTCCTGGTGCTCCTGGAAATTTTCAGCATTATTTCAGGGCAGATTTTACAATTTAGTCCTTTGGTTTCTCTCAGATTATTTTCTCATGGCAGGTAAGATTCCATCCAAGGCTGTCATTCCCCAAAGGAAGCCTGAGGGGTGAAGTTAAAGAAAGGCAATTCCCTTTCTTAACTTCCAGGGTTTTTGGGAAGGAGCACAACAGCAAAGCAGCTTCCTAAGGCAAGAATTTGGGGTTGGCTGTTTTCCTTTATACTCCCAGTTGATGGCAAGTGCTCGAACCCCATAACCCACCCCAGAGATGATCCACCTGTACCTCAGGAAACGTGGTTTTCCCTAATCTGTTTCTCAGGTCTAGCAAGTGCTACGATCTGGAAACGCCCCTTTTGAAGAAAACAACATTATTACAGATAAAAACCTGATGTGGGAAGGTTTTAAAGCAGCAGGGATAAAGGCAGGAGCTCTACAAGGCTGTGGTGAGTGTGGGGAGGAGGGGAAGGAGCTGCAGTCATGGTGCATCCATCCGCTAGGAAAGCACAACTTGGAACCTCCAACCTTCTGTCGCTGAGCACCCATGAAAACGGAGAGAAATGAAATTTAAAAGTGATCAAACTGAAAATGGAGCCGTGGTTGTGACTCAAAACCCGAACGGTGCAGTTCAGAACATCATGCACGTTTGTGCTTACACAAGGAGAGGAAGGTTTCAACAAGCACTGCAGAGCACAGGGAGGAGGAGGAGGAGGATGGAGCGCCGCCAGCACGGCCACCCTTTGGCTTCTTCCAAGGAGGCAAAGCAAGAGCTCTGTAAAATGCTGAAGATTTTAGAAGTGTAATGGCAGGTAGAAAAGGACACTGGTCTTGTGTCAGTGGCAGCCCCAGTGTTAGGAGACAGTCTAGGCTTCTAGGAGGAGAAAATAGAAGAGAGGAGAAGAAGAAGGAGAGGGAAAGGGGATGGGGAGAGGGGCAAGAAAGCGCAAGTGGTTAGTAAACATGAACATCCAGGTAGCACACACTGCTCAACAAGCAATACTTCATTTAGTGCAGCCAGGAGATTTGCCAAAAGCCACTTTGGAGACCCGTGGAATGAATTCTGCTTTTAGGAGTGTCTGGGGACGGAGCCGCGCGCGACGCTGGGCCGTGCTCGGGCAGGGTCAGCGACACCCAGGAGAGCTCAGGGTGCTGCCCAAGGGCACAATTTGCACTGAAAACAAAGTATTTCTGTGACCCAATCGTGGATGTGAGAATTCCAAGCCGGCTGGCTGGAGGGGGAAGCCCAGCTAAGGGGAGTATGAACGTTGGGATACTTCCCCTGGGTACTTCTCACCTGCCAGCAAGAGAATGAGCAGCACCTCGGGCAAGAGGCACCCAGATCAAACCATGTGATCATCCTTGATGGATTTGTGGCCAGAAATTTGGTTGGTTTTTTATTTTTAAACATAGAATTCCTTTGAACTCTAGGCAAATATCCTATTTGCAACGAGGAGTTGCAAATCGAAAATTACCCACGTTATTTTTTAATTTTAAAACTTCTGTCAGAGCTTTACTAAGCCCTGCCTAATCTCTGCATGGTGAAGGGGAGCAGTGAGGTCCCTCCCTCCCCACCTTATGCCATCTGGAATTATACACTATTAATGATTTCCCTTGCTGGTTCCCTCAGCTCTGTGCTTGCCTTCTCTCGGAATGCTGCTCCAACTGCTCCATTTATCCTTATAAGGAAGAACTGGATTAACAGCAAGACTTGCAGTGGATGTGCCGAGCACCCAAAGCCAGATGCAGCTCTCAAATTCCCAAAAAACACCCCCCAAGCCAGACACCAATGGTCACGTAGAGCTCAGCACTGCCAAGAACTGAACCCCCCGGAGCCGCTGCCTCCCTTCCCAAAATCCTGACCTGTGCCCATCCCTGCAGGAATGCTTTAAACAGCACTGTCAGAGCCAACAGAATTCAACACCAACAGAGGGTTTGCCCCCCAGTTCCAGGAGTTTTGGGTTTCTGCCATGTGCTGCATTAAGGGGATGTTGGAGCAGGGCATGGGTCTGGAGGCAGCACAGGCTGCCAAGATTTCAGTCCTGACTAATTCCAAGCTCTGCACACCCCCCCACATGTTGTAGATAATGTTGCAAGTCATAATATCAAGTCATCACCTTGTTTATTTGATTAGTGAACAAAGAAGTGCAGCAAAGCTTCCTGTGCTCCAGCCTGGAGAGATCTGTGTTTGTGCCATCAAACAGCCTCCCAGCACCTTTTCCTTGGAGTCTGTTCTACAGTCCAACTCCAACCCAATTCTGCTTTTTAAAGCTCTCTCTGTGGCTTTCAACACTGGGGTTTGTAGCAAAATGCTGGTTTCCCTGAGCATCACCTTCCTCAGTCCTCCCTCGGCCGCTCCACTTCCCACCTCTGCACTGGGCTCACATCCCACATCCCTAAAAACCACTCCAGCTTTCAGACACAGCTTAGGGAACAGATCCAGCTGGAAATAAGCCACCACAGCTTGGAGGTGGCTTAGGGCCAGGGCCTCCAGGGCTGCTTTGGGCAGCACCACCTATGGCACAACCTGGTCCGGGCGCTCCTGCAGAGCATCAGCTGCTGCTCAGCCCTGCAAACCCGATGGAAATGCAGCATTCCCCCTCTCCCTGATGGATAACCAGGGACATTTCAACGTTCCACCAAGGAGGGGGGCAGGGGGGAGAGGCTGTGAAGGAATTGTGTCGTATCAGCCCTCTGTTGTTCTGGAAAGCCTAATTAAGTTGATGCCCACGACTCCTCAGCTCTGACGTGCCGCTCCCACCGCTTTGATGTGGCTTTTAGACAAGACTTCAACAAGAGGAGAAGAGATCCAACTCTGCCCCACAAAGAGGGAACACATTAATAAATTAAAAAGCCTCAGACACATAAAAGTATCTCTGATCAAAGTTGTTAACGTTTAGTGTGTGAAGAGTTAAAACCCCCACAAAGCAAGAGCGAAGCAAATAAAGGATTTTTGAAACACAAGTCAGAAGTTCAGTCCAAACATCACGATGCATTTAATTAGTCAGAGCCAGAGTATCATAAATCCGATTATATTTCTGTGTCCTTTTAGTTATAAGTATCAAAAAAGAGGGAGGAAGTGTCCTCAGGAAGGTTCAGAAGTGTTCTTAATTTCAGTTTAAATGACAAAAGATGCACAACTTCATCTTGACTGAATTTACAATGTCAAATTAAGCACAAAGATCAATTTTCATATTCCCATCCTCAATAAGGACACGAAACTCACTCACACTCTAAATCACACTCTAATATTCTAAAGAGAATTGTAACAGAGAGATGTTTTAATTCATCCCCATCTCCCAAACATTCATCATTATTTCCTGATTACTTTTTTCTCTCAGGGCCACGCCCATGGATCAGGAGGGGTGTAATGCTGGGAGCACCCAAACAGTCTTAGCAATGATCTGTACTAGAGATGAGCTGGAGGGCACGACAAGAGAGACCAAATAAATAGTTCTTACCAATGCCAGGATGACAACTGCCTTTGGAATATTTTATCCTCAAGAAAAGAGAGATCCCACAGTCAGAGTCCTCACCACGGAAGGAAACAGATGGGTTGGAATTGTGGAAGTCACAGCAAAGAAGACTCAAAGGGAAGCAGTGTTTAACTAAGAGAAGACCAACCTCAGCACATCAGGCTGATTGGAAAGATCAATAATTTTCCAGGTTCCTCACAAGTCTGAAATATTTCTCCACTTCAGTCACGAGTTTCTTGCAGTCAAAACCATCCTAATGCTACAGAACAGGGTCCAGAAGGCCTGGATGGCACCTGGGACAAGCTAAAGGAGGTGTGGGAGATGTTTCCAGCAGGGGAGCTTGGGGTGGGAGGAGAAGCTCAGAATTCAGCAGGGTCACAGCAGTGAAGAAAAACTGCACCAAAGGATGGTGGAGTTGGACAAAAATCACTGTCAGTTCACAGGGAACAGCAGGAGTCACGGGTCAGGGAGAGCTCAGCTCTGGATGTTATGGACTGGAAAACCATTTTTATTACAGCCCTGGATGTTGCCTTCCCAACAACTGACCATGGATAAAAATATAACACCTTCAGAGCAAGGCTTTGTGCAAATGAGCCACTTCAAACTCCAAAGAAAACGAAGCTTTACTCTGCCAGGAATTCTCTGAAAAGATCATTAAACCAAACACAATCCCCTGGGAGGAAATCAGACTCAAAAAGAAGATGCATTTGGCCATGGTGAAGGTTCAGTGCTCTGACAACAAACACAGAAGTTGCTGTGTCTCCACCAGACACGTACCTGTGTGATGATCTCCCAGGCCATGGTCACCGTTCTCCACCACCGTGGGGCCACAGGCTGAGGAGTCTGCAGGGAATCAAAGCAGCTGTTA